TTTGTCATGTGCGAAGGTGGTGTGTAGATTTTGTATGTAGGAATACTAGGGATGCCATCATCGTCAGAATCATTGTTCACCATTTCATCAAACTCTAACTCGTTATCTTCTTCTTCATCATCAACTGCATCTACCTCATCTTGTTCATTCTCCAAAGGATCAACCTCCTGTGTCACCGGAGGCTCAACCTCCTGTGTCACCGGAGGCTCTTGAAGCAAAACATACAACTCAATAGAGTCGTATCCAGAATAGACATGGCTGGAAATCATATTCTGGAGATCCTCGCCATCTTGAACTTCAACCTTATAAAAAATTACTTGGTTGTTTCCAAAAAAAACTGGATTCTGATAAAATATCTGGGACACCGGGCCTCGTTCAAGTTTGGCCTCCAATCTTTTCTTGAAGTACGAGAAATTGGCTTTCCCGTTTAAGAGAAATAGAATGTTGTCTGTGTTTCTAAACAAAAACCCAGCTGTGGGACAAATGTATGTCTCACCGTTGAAATGTGCTTTGACGACAAATTGTGGTGAAGAGGCCATTGCGTAGAATTGTTTTAAGGTTTGAAGGTTGGAATGTTTGAGGTTTATTGATTGTATGAAGGTATGAATGCTGTAATGTTTGAAGGTTGGAATGTATGAATTTGATGACTGATTCAAAGGTTGTAAGATTTGACAGATTATGTGAATCAATGTTATGTTAAACGTAAGGCTAAAATTTTTAATTAAGTAAGGATGCAACCCCCCAAGGCTGCCAATAATATTACATGCAATAATGAAACCCCATAGGATGCCACCTAGCCTGGCCCTATTCTGCACATATACATTTATTTTGTAAGACTCCATCCATCAACTCCAATGGGCTTGCATGCAATAATGAAAGGAATCCCAAAGGATGTCACGTAGCCTGAGCCTATGCTGTAACAAATGACACCTCTTATTCGCCAATTGGGGTGGCGACACCATTCATTTTTGTACTCTTTCTCCAAGTCCAATGGCGCCTCCCTTACTGTCCAATCGTGATACATGCATGGGCTTATGAAACCCCATAGGCTGCCACCTAGCCTGGCCCTATTCTGCACATATACATTTATTTTGTAAGACTCCACCCATCAACTCCAATGGGCTTGCATGCAATAATGAAAGGAATCCCAAAGACTGTCACGTAGCCTGAGCCTATGCTGTAACAAATGACACCTCTTATTCGCCAATTGGGGTGGCGACACAATTCATTTTTGTACTCTTTCGCCAAGTCCAATGGCGCCTCCCTTACTGTCCAATTGTGATACATGCATGGGCTGCCACCTAGCCTGCAAGAGTGACACCTTTCATTTTTTGTACATGCATGCATGCATATGTGTAACCCCCTAAGCATGTAAATGTGACACTTCGCAGGCATGCAAGCACAAGCAACCACTACATCAAACTTATTTGCCTATAAATACATACCATATCATACATCTCTCACACCCACACAAGTCTCACTCTCTGCTACGAAATATTTCATAAGTCTATCATACTCTCTATCTCTTCCTAAATCTTTCATACTCTCAAGCATTTTAAACAATGGCTCTTCTAACAATGGGCGATACTCACAGAGGCACAAGGGAAAACATTGCTGCATTTGTAAGTTTCTTCTTTGGTTATACATTTTTCATACTTCAAATAACGCGTTGTTCATCTTAATTAATCTTACACCTGTTAAATTATGAACTCAAGACACAAAAAGATTCAGAATCCGTTCGCACAACTACCTGGCTCCCGACCCATTTATCGTCCCTTATCTGGAATACGCAGGTTTTGGACATGTGATAAAGATCTCCAACTGCACCATTGACTCGAAGTTCATTCTTGCAATGTTGGAAAGGTGGAGACCAAAGACCCATACATTTCACCTACCAATAGGTGAATGTACCATCACGCTAGAGGATGTGTACATGCTACTGGGTCTCCCTATCAATGGTAAGGCCTTGAACGGGTCGGTTCAACAACCCAACTTACAGTGTGAAGAACTGTTGGGTAGGGATATGGTAGAAGGTGGTGGAGCAAGAGGGCAGGGAATACTACTCACTGACCTGAAACGTCATTATGCAAGTTTGGAATTAAATGAAAATTCCTCAGAGAATGACAGAGTAGTAAAAGCCAGAACGTATTTTATGATACTTTTTGGTACATTTTTATTTCCCGAAAGTACGGGAAATAGTGTAAATTTTATGTACTTACATTTACTAACAAATTTTGAAAAAACAAGAAAATATAGTTGGGGTTCTGCAGTATTAGCCCACCTATACAGTTCCTTGTGCAAAAACGCAGTCAAGGAAAAATATACATTTTATGGGTGCACATTTTTACTACAAGCCTGGGGTTGGTGGAGGATGGAGTCCTTAAACCCCGTCAACAACAACACTTTCGGTTTCTCGTACGCAACAAAGTAAGTCATTAAGTTATAGCATTTATAACTATTCTGCTCTTCCCAAAATATATGCTAAGAATAACATGTTTCTCATTTTCTTTAGGTACTGCGTGAGGGGTATGGATTACGGCAAGAATCCAAGATTCAATGTCGCACTCTACCGCAATCTGTTGGATCACTTGGGCCCAGATGACGTACGTCGTAGCTTTTAACTTTTGTTCATTTAAATTATTTATACATTACTTTTGCGCTAACCTGATTTAAATTTTATCGCAGTTCGTCTGGAGACCATATTTGGGTTTGGGCCATGATCCAAACCCAGAGGATGCAGCAACTTGGATTGCAAAGACTGCAATCATTCGGTTCAACATTGTGGAGATGCACCACAGCGACCGTGTGAAGATGCAGTTCGGAATGCATCAAGAGATACCAAGTGATCCAACAGATTTGTCCCCATGGCATCTTAAAAGGGTCGACGCCCAGTGGGGTCTTACCAACTATAAAGACTTCGCTCCGGAATGGTGTAAGATGTGGCAGAGGCGTCACCGCTATGTCTTGCAATTCCAGGTTTTCCTTACTCAAGGTAACATGCGACACACGGATCAATATTTATCGTGGTACAGGTCGGTTAGTAACCCAAAAATGCACGTGTCTCATCCAAGGTACTTGGTTGACCCACACACACAATGGGCACAACCCTCGATTCCCCATCAACAAACCCAAAACCCATCAACCTCCCACCAACCCCCAAGAAGAAACAAACCCACAAACACCCAACCACATTCCCCACCACAACACAACTACAATCAAATGCCGTACAACCAACCACAATCACCACCAAACTACCAATACCCCGATATGCCTCAAACCCAACCACAATACCAACCCCAATACCAGCACACCCACATACCCCACACACAATTTCAGTCTTCCACATATCCCAATATGGCGCCCTCAACATCCAGCCTTAGCCCTGATATGGGAATGTCGGAAGATTATGACCAAGCCGACCAAACCTACCATCACCCACCATATCACCAAACCACCCAACATCCTCAATACCAAACACCCCAAGATCCATTTCCTTTCTACCCCCCGTACTCAGACGACCAATGCTACAGACCAACCATGGAACCCCACCCACCGCCAACACGACCAAACTTTGAGGGTATTGGGTAACCGACTGTACCAGAGCGGATCTTCTAGATATGGAGATCTGACTGATTTTATGGATTCGGACCGCATTGACTTCGCTGGGCCATCGACCTCGCCGCATCAGGAAACACGACGGCACCCAGCAAGAGAAAGGCGAGGACGGGAATGCGGAACCGGGGGTCATTACCGGGTTCCGGGGGATCACTGATGTATCTTTTTTTTTCCCAGTATTTTTGTATCCATTTTTTTAACTGTTATTTTAATGTAATACAGTTGGATGTAATTATTTTTTTTAATAAAAAGTCCATTTTGTTGATCTCTGTCCAACAGGCAATGCACAGGAAAAAAAATAAAAAAAAATTTTTTTGCCCTAAAAATACACTTAGGCGCCATCTCACTTGGCTTAGGGCATGCCCTAAGCACATAGGCGCCAAGTGAGATGGCGCCTCCCTTAAAAAAAGAGGTGCATGCGCCATTTCAGATGGCTCCTCCTTTGGGGAGTCATCTGAAACATGGTTATTTGCGTATTTTTTTCCGAAACCCGGTTATTTGCGAAATATTATTTTAATACTTGGTTATTAATAAAAAAAATTCTAACATTGACACTTGTACAAAAAGAACAATATGATTTTAAAACTTATACCCGATATATGAAAAAAGGGTGTAAATGAAAAACGCGATGACAATTTTATAATAAAGTATCATTTTAAGAATTATTATGTGATAATATACTCTATATTTTTTAAAAAACGGATTTAAATTAAAAATATTATTATAACTAAATATCAATTACCCCTTTAAACTAAAAAATTGATATAAATAAGAAATACAGTAACAATTTTATAAATTAAATATAATTTTAAACATTATCATGTAACAATATATCTCCTATTTTAATAAAAACAGGTTTAAATTAAAAAAACATTATTATAATTAAATATCGATTACTACTTTTAAACTAAAAAAGCAAATATAAATTTATATAAAACTAAAAAATTTATTTAATTTTATAATTCAAAATATTTAATGTATGTGACATATTAATAAATAATTTAAATATTATTAATAATGAATGAATATTAATAAGTCAAAATTTATTAGGCGAATAATAAATTTATTAGATAATTAAAATAATTTAATTTAAACAAATAATGTAATTAAAAAACAAAAAGACATAAAAGTTAATTGAATTTGGTGTCGATACAATTCATAAACCCAGTTTCAACAAAAGTCTCGTTCTAAACCCTTCTCAACGAAACTCTCGTTCTTCTTCGCAATCCAACCCCAGTTTCATCGCATTTCAAGTTCTAAACCCAAAGACGATTCATTTTCACGAAAACCCTTTCCATTTCGCCGAAACTCTTCGCTCATTTCACATTTTACCATCGCAGACGATTCGTCAACACCGAAACTCTTCTCAACGAAGTTGAAGAGGTATGGTTTTATACTTTGAGCGACATGCATTGGCAGTAGAAGAATCAGGGTTTTATACTTTGAGCGACATGCATTAGTAGATGAAGAATTAGGGTTTTGTTTCAGAAATTAGTTCCTAACTTTTGTTTATTGCATTGGTAGCTGAAGAATTAGGGTTTTGTTTCAGAAATCAGTCCAGTGAAGTTTATTACTGTTTATTCGTGCAGGTAAATTCAGAACTTTTGTTTTCTTCATTATTGTTGTTTTGTGGCTTTAGTGTGTTGTTAAGAGTAGATATTCTATAGTGCATGTTAAAATAGACCCTATGTGTGTAATATGTTCTTCCTTATAATTTAATTTCTTCTTCTGATCTGCTTTTCTTTGTGTCTTTTCTTCTGCTGTTTTATGATTTTAGTGTTATATATATAGAAAATTGCGTTGAAATTAGAAAGAAAAGCCAATTTGCAGCACTTGATCTGCAGCAGAGAACATATTCCAAAAAATGGCAGCACTGTCTCCTCTCTGCCAGCAGTGTGATGATGGAGTATATATACTGTGTTTGCCTTGCATTTATACCTTTACATTCATATTTAGTGAAAAAGGAATTGTGATCAATCCATGGATGAACTACTCAAAATATAATGAAATTGATATCTATACTCTTTATATCTGTCTGTTTTGTCTTACAACAGCAGATCAAATAGTCAATCAAAACAATCATCGAAAATATGAGTTTTATGTTGGAAACATTAATAAATGATGTCTTAGTATTCTAAACTAATCTATAATTTGTCACAAACATTTATTGTAAGTGAGACTTTTATAGTGAAAGTGAGATAATATAACTTTTTTGACACTTTTGGTTATTAACATGGTTGACTATATGCCTAAAATTAGTACAGTTTGAATTAGACCGGATGATTAGAATTTTTGTAAGTGACAATAATCACCAGAAATTCAAACATGAGATGGATGAGGTCATCAAGGATCTTGCAGCTGTTAAGACCAAAATTGTGTTGCTTAGAAGTAGGGACTTATCAGTGGACCAAGTGTTGAATTATGTTGCAACCATAAATTATGCCAGGTTGTTTTCTAGTGACTTATCAGAAGTAGTTGTGGCACATAGTCAAAATCGTACCTAGTTTATTCCAAGCTATAATTGGAACGGTGATGGTTGCTTAATATGTATACTGCTACTATTTTATGATGACATACAAATAAGACATTTTCATGGCTATTATACTGCTTGCTTACACGGATAAAAGTTATGTAAAGGAACCTCCTACTATTCATTCTCATGTTGTATGATTATTATATTATATATACACGGATCATTCCAATTCTCATTTTTGTAATATTATGATAGAATAGACTAAACTTCTCGTGGTTTAAGCCACTAATCACTTGAAATGATCTTGCCGTATAACTGCCATTAAATTAAACGGTGGCACATCTACCAGAATAGTACTACGGTAGGATTAAAAATATAATTAAAGCATTAAATGTTTTCTTGATGATTTTTTCCATATTATGATTCTGTAAAACACCAACCTTAAACATGATTGCACTGGCTAATATTGTAAAAGCTGTGAATAGTGCATAATAGATTGGAGAAACAACTTCACTAATTCAATGAATACATGGAGTGAAAAGAATGGCAAAGATATCAAACTACAAGCATGATAATAGTGAACAACCAATAGAGAAAAGAATACATGAAAAATATTCCTTGTACATAACTAGATGATATACATAATAGGAAACTCAACACAAAAGCTAGATCATTCCCTGTAATATTAACTATTTAACAGTTCTCCAAATTAGCTTCACTAATTTTTATTGAAGTGATATTTGGTGAAAGGCCAAAACTGACTTACTTTTTGCTTGTTATTTCAGCTCTTAGTTGGCTACTCTCGTTCTGCAGCACTTGATCTGCAGCTCGCAACACTCGCTCTGCATTCCACAATCCATAATGCACACAGTCCTTGCCTCTCGTCCTCTCCTTTGCTCATCAGGTTTTCTAGTTGTGTCTTCTATTTTTTAACATGTTGTATCAGTATTTTAGATGTTAGAGTGTTCACTTTTAAACCATGCTAAAGTATAAACATATGTTATCATAATGTGATATGAGATTTTCAACTAGTTAAAAGTTCAATTCTTCCTAACAATTTGTTTTAAGTGAATTTCACGAACTACTTGAGACTCATGACTTGATTGTAAGAATCACCAACTATACACATGTAATGTTAATTAAACTTTACCGACTAGTTATTGGTTATGGGGGAGATAGTAAAGTGGGAATCAAAGTATGGCAACCAGCTAGCAGAATCTCCAACCTTTAAAGTCATTAAAAATATGATGCCTTATTTAAATAGTAGAAATATTTTAACGAGTCTTAGAATATATCATCACCTCAAATGGACCTCATTTTTAATGTGAATAATAATAGTCTATAATCTATATAGTTTTCTAAGAAAACAAAGAAGCATTAATTGATTGTATATTATATGGAAGCATTTGGTGTAGCAAGTGATTGTAAAGCTTACAACGAGATGAATGTGAGTATAGAATTAATGGAAAGTGAAATTTTGAATGCAACTAAATTGGTTGAATAGATGATATATTGTCACATATAGAGAGATGCATTCATTGATTAAAGCTACTATTTTTGAAAGAATTAATGAAAGCTACTTATTCCTCTTGGAATAACAGCGTTCATGAAAAGCAAGTGAACTATATAAGAATCACAATTATGCTTGTAGTAACAACTAATTAACTAACAAGAACACTTTGTGAGTTGCATGGAAATGCTAAAAAAAGTAAGATATAAACAAGTCTTCCACACTTTACAGGAATATTAAAAGCAAGTGATATATTATCACATAGAAGCATACATAAAGAACAACAAACGGTGAAATATAAAATACTTTTATACTATTTCGCACAGATATTAGATCCTAATTCCACTACCACCTTAAAACCGTGTAAGTTTACCCTCTGTCCGTGGTATACTCAAGATGCATCCAAGGAAATATTTTGCAGAGAATTTTGTGTTTGTATTCTGATAGTTATTGTTGAAGATTTAACTCACTGTTTTGTATTACTTTGACAGTTGATCCACAACTGTTGCCCATCAAAGATACTCTTTGCTCCTTCGAATCCATAACAGTTTGCTGTTCATTTGACTTCACAATTTGGTGAGTGATAACAAAATTTGACATACTTTCAAGATGTTTATGGACATGATGCCTGGTTTTGGATTTTGTTACAGAAAAGCTTCTGTTATCAAGTCATTTATAAGTGAAAATATGCTTTCGATAGGTTGTTATATCATTACATGCTTTCGATAGGCTGTTATATCATTACCTATAATCAAAATTTCAAAAGGCTGTGTGATAATTTTGTGGAAGAGATCTATAGATTCCATAGTATAGTACAAGTGATTAAGATATGATTTAGGAAGATCAATATGAAGTATATTTTCACTTTATTTAGTTAATAAACGGTAGCTTTGAGACTAAATCAATTCAAAATCTATCATACCTTTCTGTATTTACAATGTGAAGTCAATTTTTCTTGGTTATTCATCAACATTATGGAATTCAGCAGGTATTGTATGAAAGAATGTTAATTATAGAAATCCCCTCCAGAACAACAAATTCTCATAATTTGGAAGTTGGAGATGTTTTTTCCTCTTTCAGTTTTTGACATCATGGTTCACTTAATAGTCCATCTAGTTAAAGAGATTAAAGTGTGTGGCCCTATTTATTTAAGATTGATGTATTATTTTGAACGATACATGAAGATATTGAAAGGCTATGTGAAGAATCATTATCGTCCTAAGGCATCTATAGTTGAAAGGTACATCACAGAAGAAGCCGTTGAGTTTTGTACAAAGTATTTGTCACATGCAAAACCTGTAGGATTATCCAAGTCTCGTCACGACATAAAATGTGATGGTAAGGGTACACGTCTAAAGGTATATGGGTGAAAGGGAAGTTTTTCAAGCACATTTGTATATATGAATGTCTTGGACTGGCCCGACAGCTTGAATGGGCCCAGTCTAACCCTTTCTTTTGGTATGGCCCGTACATCCATAACCCGAACCACCTGCTCTCTGTCGGACAATACCGACCCTTTTGCCCTCCCAAGCCAACACTGGTCTAGGATGATCGACGAGCATCTCTCAGCCTGCCCGACATCAAAGTCGTGCAGACCACCAGGAATCGACCAGAGAGATGCCCGTAACTGGCCCCTCTTGGAAACTAACGGCTAGTTACGGGCACACCTGCTCCGTTTGACCAAGTCCTGACAGTTATCTGATTTTATGGACCCGTATATCTAGGCGTAAAATCGGGAATCAGTGGCCATGCGCCATGGGCATTATATAAACCCTCACACCTATGAGGGCCAAGTATCAAATATTCACTATTCACCATCAATACCTTAATACTTTGCTTGTATCTCTTTGTTCCCACTCTTAATTGATCGCCGGAGTGTCTTGCCAGTACAATCCTTTTTTCCTCCTCGACATCACAACCCGACTATAGATCATCTTCCGGCCACTTCACATGTTATGATCAACCGATAAGATCAGTGAAGAAGGCTGCGCCAACATGTATTTGTCTTTGAAGTGGCGGACGAACTCCAAATAAGCTTTAAACAACTTCCCGTTGCCTTGCTTCAGGGAAACCCATCCCCATTTACCGTCGACCTTGCTCCTCTGGAGGTGGAAGCAGTAGAAGAACAAGGGAATGGTGACCCATATCTTCAAGTAATCGCAAACTATTTCGAACGCTCGCACGAACGCGATGCAGTTCGGGTGCAGTTGGGAGGGAGCCACGCGCAGGTGCCTGAATACGGCCACCTCAAAATCAGAGAAGAGGAGCTGAAGACCCATCTCCCGAAATACGATGTCATACATGGGAATCCGCCTTCTATCATATTTCGAGCAGATTCTACTCTCTTTCCCGGGGATGTATAACGACCCTCCTCGTGAGTATACACATCTGTAAAAACATCCTCCCGATGCTCAAAGAAACACGAGGGCCAGTCCTAGGGATCGTTCGCGACCCAAGCCCGTGGATCCTCCTCGTTCCCAGGGGGAAACATGCAACCTTGATCGACGAAGGTCATCTCCACATCGCCATCTCCCGTTTGCTCCTCCGATCAATTTTGTGCATCTCCGGAAATCTCCAGAATGCTTGACGAGCTACTCATCTCGTCTGAAGAACTTCTCGAAGATTGTGTAAACTCACTCGAGAGATCAACTCGGCTGTTGTCAGCCATAGCACCTGAAAAGCAGAGGAAAAAGATGAGTTCAACATCAATGCCAGAACCATCCTTCCACCGTTAATCAAGTGAAAGGGCGCGGGGAAACGAGGATCGTGTCCCCAACCAGAACCCTCACTAAGACGCATAAACGGGCAGAAATTACGGAAAACATCCCTAAGTCCTAAGAGGCCGTCTACGACACATCACGAAGTGCCTGAGGGATTCCACGGCGGCTCCGACGATTCTAAATTACAGAAACGCCGCCTGCCACCAACACTCCCCAATAACGTCCTTACAAACGAAACGCTAAGCCCTAGCCGCATGCATTTCTAAGAAGAAAATGGCGAATATATGAAAACTCGAGAAACGACGGTGGAAAACTGAAAATTTATCAGTTAATAGAAGAAGGATGAGTGGAAGTAGCAGCTACGAGCGACAAATCTCAAGAAACAACGACGACCAACATCTAGGCGGAAGATCCCTCGCGAGGAAAACTTTGCGAGCAAGATATTATTGGCCTAATATGCAGCACGACGTGAAAGAGCACGTGAAAAAATGCGACAAATGCCAATGACACAGAGACATGCATTTGGCTCCACCTACCGAGCTTAAATCCCTCTCCTCTCCCAGACCCTTCGCTTGGTGGAGATTGGATCTCCTCGGTCCATTTGTGGTCGGAATCAATTAGAATAAATATCTGATCGTAGCGGTCGATTACTTCACCAAATGGATAGAAGTCGAAGTTTTGGCCAAAATCACCGTCCAAAACGTCATTTGCTTCTATAAAAGAAATATCCTTGCTCGGTTTGACATCGCACAAGCGATAGTCACTGACAACGGGACTCAGTTTACAGACCACACCATTCAGAAATTCGTCGTCAAACTGGGCACCACCCAACACTTCGCCTCTGTCGAGTATCCCCATACAAACGACCAAGCCGAATTTGTAAACAGGGTAATATTCAGGGGCCTCAAGCGAAGATTGGACGAGACCAAGAAAAGATGGGTCGAGGAGTTACAGTGTACTCTGAGATACCGAACAACTGCACATTCATCAACCGAGGAGACCCCCTTTCGACTAGCTTACGGGACAGAGTCCGTCATTCTCGTAGAGATCGAAGAACCTTCCAGGCGAACCGAGGCTCCTCCAGATGAGGAGATGAACGACGTCGCCCTCCGGGAGGAACTGGATCTAGTGGAAGAAATCAGAACAGGAGTGGTCCTACGAGAGGCCTCACTCAAACAAAAAATAGTCATGCGCTACAGCGCCAAGGTCATACGATGAGAGTTCGAGGTCGGCAATCTTGTCTTATAGAGATATCGCAAAGAATCTCGCGAGGGCAAGCTCGCAGCGAACTGGGAAGGTCCTTATCGCGTCTACGCGAAAACGGGGACTTGAGCGTATTACTTGGATAACTTACAAGGGGAACAACTCGTTCGATCATGGAACGCTGAAAAGCTAAAACAATATTATAGTTAATGATCTTACCGGTTGATCAGAACCTGTGAAGTGACCGGAAGATGATATGTAGTCGGGCTGTGATGTCGAGGAGAAATAAATGGGTTATACCTGCAAGGCACTCCGACGATCAAGAGTGAGAACAAGGAGATACAAGTAAAGTGTTAAGGTATTAGTGGTGAATAATGAATATTCGATACCTGGCTCTCACAAGCGTGAGGGTTTATATAATGCCCCTGGCGCATGGCTATTGGTTTCTGATTTTACGCCTGGATATGCGGGTCCGTAAAATCAAGTAACTGCCAGGACTTGGTCAAATCGGACAGATGTGCCCGTAACTAGCCGTTGATTTCGAGGAGGGGGCCAGTTACGGGCATCTCTCTGGTCAGTTCCTGGTGGCCGGCACGACTTTGATGTCAGGCACGCTGAGAGATGCTCGTCGATCATCCCAGGACAATGCTGGCGACAATGCTGGCTTGGGGAGGGCAAAAGGGTCGATATTGCCCAATGAAGAGCGGGCGGTTCGGGTTATGGACATGCGGGCCATACCAAAAGAAAGGGTTAGACTAGGCCCATTCAAGCTGTCGGGTCAGTTCAGAACAATAGCCCCCCAAGTCGTTGCTTATAGATACAAGAGTGATGACTTTAACACCTGCTCGTGGAATGAAGCGCGTCTTACGAGGAAATGAGTGTTACCCGTTGTGCCTTTCTCGCGGAGAGATGATGAGTTAGTCGTTGGGAGCTTTGAACTTGAAAAAGAGGTAGCGTATTTCGGGAAGCGAAGCGGCGCAATGATGACCTAGGGGCTAGGGTGTAATAATGACGACCCTAGGGTTTCCCAGGCTCATGTCTCGCACACACAAATGACCTCAGCTATAAATACGAGAACAACAGGGTGTTTAGTGTTTTTCATCTTCTCTCTCAATTGCTCGTAATAGCTCGACTGTCGACCACTGTCGTTTCTTAGGATTTGTCGCTCGCAGCTGCTACTTCCAGCCTTTCTTCTTCTATTAACTTGTAAGTTTTCAAATTTCCACCGTTGTTTGCTTTTAGTAGATCATATTTTCGTCATTTTCTTTCTAGAGATGCATGCAACTAGGGTTTAGGGTTCCGTTTGTGAGGACGCCGTTGGGGAGTGTTGGCGGTAGGCGGCGTTTCAATAGTTTAGAATCACCGGAGCCGCCGTGGAATCCCCCCGGGCACTTCGTGATCTGTCGTAGACGGCCCCTTAGGACTTATGGTTGTTTTCTATAATTTCTGCCCGTTTATGCGCCTTAGTGAGAGTACTGGTTGGGGACACGACCCTCGTTTTCCCGTGCCCTTTCGCTTGATTAGCGGTGGAAGGGTGGTCCTGGCATTGATGTCGAGCTCATCTTTTTCCTCTGCTTTTCAGGTGCTATGGCTGACAACGCCCGGGTTGATCGCTCGAGCGAGTCTTCACAATCTTTGAAAAGTTCTTCAGACGAGACGAGCAGCTCGTCGAGCATTCTGGAGATTTTCGGGAAAGATCGGAACAAGTGAATTATCAATTTATATTGATAGGCCGGACCTTACTGAATTAATTTCTGGTATTAAAGGGATCTCCACATCTATATTGTCTTTATGGTGCTCGTAAGTATCTTATTTTATTTTTAATTATTTTTTTCATGTATCATTTATAAATTAACATTTGTTTCAATAATTCAGATATCTACATGACATTCGTATCTCCAAGAATGTCAACGAACTAAGTGAATTATCAATTTATATTGATAGGCCGGACCTTACTGAATTAATTTCTGGTATTAAAGGGATCTCCACATCTATATTGTCTTTATGGTGCTCCTAAGTATCTTATTTTATTTTTAATTATTTTTTTCATGTATCATTTATAAATTAACATTTGTTTCAATAATTCAGATATCTACATGACATTCGTATCTCCAAGAATGTCAACGAACTATCTAGGTTTCATCATCTAAATAGGACACTACTTACCACTAGAGAGTCCGATGCTATTACATCCTACATACAAAATAAGTTGGACGACGAGTCAAAAAAATGTTACTTGGAATCATTGTTAGATCGGTAAGTACACGTTTCCTTCAAGGTTTTATAGTTTTTTAGTGTTATTTTATAATATTTGAATTTTAATGATTCTAACACTATCGTTTTGAAAATACAGCAATCACTGGCAGCTGTTTGTTATTTGTCCTCAAGATAATGATATCTTTTGGTTTTGTTCATTACACACAAAACCCAAGAAACGTACTAAGGTCATACTTGAGAGTTAAGAAACTTAAATCAAGAGACATCATTTATACTTCATTTCTGTACCTTTTAACTTTAACTTTATATCTTATTTATGTTGCAATTTCTTTTATTAGAACTGAACAAGATATCACTCCTTAAAAGAGGTCTTGAGAATAAGAAGCCTAATTGGAAGATTGTCAAGGAAATAATTTATCCAAATTGTCCTCCAGCCATAATAATATTGCTTAAATAAAGCTTTGCTGGTTTCTGCACATTAGTGGTAATTTCCATGCTTAAAGCTTGAAAAGTCATTAAAATACTATTCATTTTGGTATTCAGTTGGCGTGCATTTGGAAAGTGTGGAGGGTTAATGATGTAACTGGGCAATGCATAACCATGCCCAATGTTTACATATTCAACTGTTGGCTATTGACCCTCCACTTTTTCCATTTTTCTATTATTATAGTATAAAATAAATGCACACGTTTATTTCATGTTAGGTTGTCAACCTAATCCACCCAATCCTCTTATTTTCTGAAGATCATAAGACCAACTAAGAGACTAAAAAGTTGATGTTGATTTGACCAATGTTATTCAGATTCTTTCTTTGATCAATTTTGATATCTGTCATGACCATTTTTTTTAGTGTAATTATACTCCTATTTCGTAGACAAATTTGGTCATCAAAATATCAGTTAATGTGATATGGAAGTAAATTAATCGCACCTACATGGTTTTGCATTTATGTAATAGATTTGTATTTTATATGTAGGCACATAAGCAAGATAATGCACCTACATGGTTTTGCATTTATGTAATAGATTTGTACTTTATATGTAACCACATAAGCAAGATAATGGATGGGCGTGTGAATATTATGTAATGAACTTGATATTGTTGATACTTCAATTGTTGAATGTAATGAACTTGATATTGTTGATACTTCAATTGTTGAAAGATTCGATGAGGTAGAATAAATTAAAATAAAACCATATTTGGGTGTATTTATTGACAGGGGTAAATAGATTTTTGGTCTTTTTAAATATCTTAAATTTGGTTTTCAGTCAATCTAAATTTTTCCTTTAAAGAATGGTTATTCTAAAAAAATTAAATTTTAATTTTTGGTCTCTCTTAACAAAATCGGAGTTAAAATGGTCTCTAATTTCGTCGCTAATTAAAATTCATTGCTAAAACTGTCGCTAAAACCGTCAATAAAACTGCCATTAAGTTGTAAAAATCGTTGTTCAATTACAAGAGGGATTAAAAATTAAAATTTAATTTTTTAGGAGGACTATTCTTTGAAGGAAAAATTTAGAGGGATTAAAAGTTAAAATTTAATTTTTTAGGAGGACTATTCTTTGAAGGAAAAATTTAGAGGGATTAAAAGTTAAAATTTAATTTTTTAGGAGGACTATTCTTTGAAGGAAAAATTTAGAGGGATTAAAAATGAAATTTAAGATATTTAGGAGGGACCAAAAATTTATTTAATCTTTATTGAAAAACATGTAAATTATTGTTTTAATATGTAGATGTTTAATTTATTGTATGTTTAACTTATAGATATTTACATATATGTCACCCTATGAAAAAGAGACAATTAACTATTTTCGGCAATTTTGGATTCAAAGTTTTTTTCTTTCAAAATGGTTGAAAATCAAAAGGTATTTTTGTATATTTTTTGATAAGGACATAAGAGAAAGACCAAATGCAAATGGATGAATAAGATCAAGACATAGAAATTCAAAAATATGATTTTTGTATTTTTTTTTTATAAATATGAAAAATATTATGATTTAGTATATATGAAATATGACTTTAATGTGGATAATTTATAATATTTAAAATATTACGATTTTTAATACATGAAATATGAAAAAATGTGTTAACTAAAATATGGTGTAATATAACATATGAAATAGGATGAAAATGAAATTAAATATAACATAATTTGTTCATTTATAAAAGGGTATAAATTATATTAAAAAAGAATATAAAATTATATTAAAATAGGTTGTAATTACATAGTTTTATTAAAAATTAGTGTAAAATTATATTAAAATAAGGTTTAATTACACTTGATTTTTATTAAAAAATGGATGTAAAATTTTATTAAAATAGGATATATTTATATCTAATTTTTATTAAAAAGGATATAAATTAGTATATATTTGTATCTGATTTTTATTAAAATAGACATAGAAAAAGACCAAATATAAATGGATGATAGGACAAAGACATAGAAATTCAAAAATATGATTTTTATATACTTTTTGGTAAATATGAAAAATATTATGACTTAGTATATATGAGATATGATTTTTATGTGCATGATTTATAATATTTAAAATATTATGATTTTTAGTATATAAAATATGAAGAAATGTGTTAACTAAAATAGGATGTAATGTAGCATATGAAATAGAATGAAAATGAAATTAAATATAATATAATTTGTTCATTTATAAAGGGTGTATATTATATTAAAAAAGAATGTAAAATCATATTAAAATAGGTTGTAATTACACTCAATTTTTATTAAAAATTAGTGTAAAATTATATTAAAACAAGGTTTAACTACACTTGATTTTTACTAAAAAATAGATGTAAAATTTTATTAAAATAGGACGTGTTTACACCCAATTTTTATTAAAATAGGGTGTACCTAAGAACGCATGCACACCCGATTTTTATTAAAATAAGATATACATAAGAACGTATTTACACTCGATTTTTATTAAAAAAATGGTGTAACATAAAGTTTATTTGTACTTGATTTTTAAATGGGTATAAACACGTTAGATATTTTTCAATCATTAAATATATATTCGATTTGTATTAAATTTAATGAGTATAAATATAATAAAAAATACGTGTAAATTAACTTCTTTTTTTGTACTAATGTGAAATGAAATGTATTTCTCCTCTTGGTAATATAAAATAATTTATTTATTATTTGTACGACCATGAGATTACAATACTATTGGTTCTTCGCCTTTCGACTCTTACCTCTATCATAATCAACATGAAACAACTTACTAACTTGTAAGTGCATTTCTTATACACTTATTAGTGTTAGTGTTATTCAAATAATGAAATACTATTCTAATAGCAGTGCTATGTGATTCTTTAAGAACATATTAAAATCTAACACATTAACCTACATCGATATAATATTAGGTCTTTCAAAAGTATATTATTAACGTTGATTGTAAATAACATGTTGAAGAAATTTAGCATTGCCTTGTATAGTAAGAAAAAGGAAGATCAAGAATGATTGAGTTAAAAAATATGAATAGTTAAGTCTCACATCGCTTATGAATAAATAAAATATCAAATCTATAAAACAGATGATTTATATAATTGATGTTTTAAGTGGAGATGCACAGTCTCTTTCTTTTTGTAATCTTGGAAAAATGATAGTATAAGATAGATGATCTATACACTCGATATTTTAAAATTTTAAGATAATATAAGGTGTCCAACTTATTTAAAGTAATTCTTAGAAGCTCAATACCGTGATCTTTAAACCTCCTCACAAGCCAACAATTTTTGCAATTATAACCGTATAAAATTGAAATTTATTTAAGAAAAACGGATATGTGAACACCGTCAATAAAATAATTATATAACAAAAATAATAATGATAATATAATTATAAATTTTATACTCTAATTACAACAGATAAATAATTGACTAAGCCAACTTATTAAAAAAAAACAGAGAATTACAAATAATTTAGGTGAATGATACAATTTATCTAAGTAGAAAGTCTAATAGCATGTTTTATTTCCTTTCAAAAAGTTCCACAAAAACTACAAGAGAATGGTAGCTTTTTTGTCCAAAGGTGTGTTCCAAAACATAACCAAATATGCTATAAAAAAATCCAAACTTCTAAAAGAATAAATGAATGAACAAATTTCAAAACAAAACATGAAGTAAATAAAAATAAATAGTTAATCTATCTATTTTCATCAATTCAAATGTCACCTTAGGTAACAATTTTTTGAGAAATCTTTTTCTTCTTTAGTAGTCAAAGATCGTCGATTGAATTGATTCAGATAAATTCAACCGTTGATCTCTGACTCAAAAGTATTTATGAATAGAATAAGATATTCGATTCTAAATCCTTCAATGTTGCCTCAATTCGCAACTTTTATTGTGGTTCTTGGGCTAGGTAACCCCATGTACGCAAGCCTAGGAGAGATCCTAACTTTTGGGCTTGGTCTTGGAGAAGGTATTGGGCCATACTTATATGGTCTTGCAGAAGCAGGCCTAGGAGACAAATTAACTTGCTCCAATGCCCTTGATTGCAGGTGCTCAGGATAGTCACGCACACACCCAATACGAGCTCCAGCTCCTGTGGACCACTTGCATGATAATCTCTTGGAAGAGTCAAATATTGGTCCCTCAAATTTCTTGTCTTTAACCTCTGTTGCTTTATTGATTTTGATTCCTTTGTTGGTGTCATTTGTGGTAGACATTGATTGGGAAGTTTGAGTAGGTCCCAAAATTTGTTGTGGCTCATTATTTCCAATAAATGAAGGAGCATCATCATCTATAGCATATCTCTGAAAAAATTGAAGAAAAAAAAACAAAAATATTAGTAAATTTCTTCCACAATAATTTTATTTACTATTTGTTCAATTAGATGAAAATTCACCTTGACATTAGAGAGGTCTACATTGTGCTCTTCAAGAAAGCTAACAAATTCTTTGAAATTCTCTTCAGTTGGGTGATAATGACCACTATAAGGCCAAATTGCCTACAATGTTTATACAACAAACAATACTTGTAAGCAAAATTGATTATACAAAATGACATCTAGGTTAAGAAAATCGATTATCTATAATCAACCGACGTGAATCCTGACCATTAAAAAAAAATTAGATAATATATTTATTTACATTTTTTTAAATCAAAATATTGATTATCTGATCTTTATCTAATGATCAAGAGTTTTTCGATTATGGATCTTTATCTAATGATCAAGAGTTTTTCGATTATGGAGAATTTAGGTGGAATAAAATGGGAGTTTTGAGTTTTTACCTCTAGTACACCTTGTTGTGCCACTAGTCTTCCAGCAGCTGTGGTTGCAGCCCCAGATAAAAAGCTAGAGTGTTGAAAAGCACCCTTTTGTTTCCTTCCAACGTACAAAGCCCTAGTGGTGCTAAGAACAAATATCCATTTAGACTTTTCATCTGTATCCACAAATTTTCCACCATGTCTATACACCAACTTCCCCTTTTCAACAATTACTTCGTATTCTTCCCTCTCTTTCTGCAACCAAACATACACATTAGATTATACATATATATGCAACATTAAAACTTCAGATTAAAAATGTATCTGGTGTTCGAAAAGTTCAGACATGTCACTATTTCGTACGAGATTAGAAATATGAAATTTTCTATTAATAACTTACTGGTCCAAGATATTTAATAGACTGGCGTTGTAAAGTAGCCCTTGGACATTTCTCAAGATTTATTTCTTTACCATCTCCAACATCCAACCTACAAAAATTAACCATCAAGATCAACCTCAACTTCTATGGTTTTCACCTATTATTATTATTACAATTATCAATAAGATATAGATGATTAAGAATCATAAATAGAACCATACCAATAGAAAAATGGTTGAGTGCTTAGGCTTGCAAACCAAATATCATAATATAAATGCAAATTGTGTCCATATCGATGACGTGGGTCAATCTATACATATAAGAAAAAAGAACATTGTTAATTATTAATATTCTAAGATTAAATTAAATTTAATATTAATACAGGATAATTAATTAAATAACTTACCGCTTCAAGCCAATGTTGAAGTGCTAATTTTTGTGCTTTATCATTCTTAGACAAACCTTTTCCAACCTGTATAAGAAACAACAACTCACAAATTATAAAACACTTCAAGTAATATCTAATAACATTAATATAAATTATGAAACTCAAACACTCCAAAAACACTTATACAACGATACCGATAATAATTTAAATAATAATAAATTAAATATAATTATAATTATTAATACAGATATCTGAAAAGACACTTAGATGTCTCAATAGACATTTCTTTTTTTAAAGGTGTCATTGTAACATAATCGAATTAAATTTAAAATAAAATATACCTTAGCTGCTCTAGTTCTTGCTCTTCCCCACCTTGACAATGCAGTTTCTTGTTTTTGTTCATCAAAAAATGAAACAGAACTTCTTTCAAGTGCAGCAGAATCCAATGTTTTCCACCTTAAAAAACATATAATATAAAACAGAAATTTAAGAAAACCCTAACCTTAAAATAACCAAAATATTAAAATAAATAAAAAACTAAAATGAAAAAATATATTTGTTTTTCAACAAAACTAACCAAAGTTCTTCAATAATAACAGCACAATCAGCAAGGTTTCTTCTAGTTCTATAACTCTTATAAACTTTCTGAACCTTAGTTGCTGCAGCATCAAGCTCAGAAACTGGTCTTGGTGAAGAGAAAACAACTTCTTTAGGCAAAGAAAGCAAAGGAACAGCTTTTTGGTGCAATTTTTCTTCATTTGTTTCAAGGGTCACATGTTCTGGTCTATGATCCTCTAACCTAGTTGAAATGTTTCTTGTTGTGGCATCTGATTCTCTTTTGTTGAAGCTTCTTGCTCTCAAAATCATAGCACCATCTTTGGAACCAAAACTATAGTTGAATGATAAACAAAAAAGTGAATGTCTCACTATTTCTTCCCAAGCTGATGTTAATATAGAAAGTGATAATCCCATAGAGATGTAGATTTACACCAATTTTTTATATAAAAAAATTGATGAAATTAATTCGAACCTTTGATGTGTGTGGTTTATGAAGAAGAATATGAATTATGAATTGAAGTATGAGTCTAAGAATAAGAGATTAATATCAAAAGTGAATGAATAAGATGTGTGTATTTCAGTGGTTTTATATATATATAAGTTTGGTATTCAAATACGTGTCAAAGTGGAAGAAAGAAAGAGAGAAAGTAAAAGGGCAGTGGTTGAATTCAACAAGGAATTTTCGCAACACTTTCGAATGAGGAAATAAAAGGTGTGTTACTATAAAGTTCAAAATTTACTTGTGGGAATACTTAACAAAATGGAAGAAAAACAAAGGTTCAATCCACGTGTTTGTTGAAGTTGTTCAAATCGTTTTTTTGGTTTGTAATATGAGGATAATAATCCCTTATAGAGGATATGACTAAAAATAAAAAGTATAGTCAAGCTATTGTTTTTTTTTAAGTATGGGTCCATAAATAGATAAAATTATAGAACAATAGGAAAAAAAACAGGTGAGTCTACTAGTCAAAGAAGTAAGCTTAGATATTCCATGATATGAATAATGTTTTTTTAATCAATTTTGTTCATTTTTATCAAATTTTACAACACAACTTTAAAATTTTATGTTTATTTTGATGTAGAAAAAACTTATTTTAATCGATATTTATGTCTTTTGTGAGTTTTGACTAGTAAAAAAAATATTATTTTAATATTTTAGAAAAATAAAATTAAAAGATTAAATTGATCAATGATTAATATTTTTCATGTGAAAGGTTTAAGGGGAGTCGCAAAGGAAAATGAAAGACATAAGAAAGTGGATATCATATGATTCAAGAGATTAAATTAAAAGTGGCGAATGATTTTATTGCTTCAGGGGGTCTAGCAACATGTATTATTACTGTAGACCTTTAGTCGGAGTTTTTGTAGGGGTTCTTACCATGTCAGACTATGTATTAGTGTTTGTTAAATTATACATTAATTTAGAACATGTTTTTATTATTAGAGGTTGTTTCAAGAATGATGATCAATTGTTTTACGTGGCAAATGAATATGTTATGTGTGACGGTAGAGGTGAACAATTATTGTGAATTCGATCGAGTGACCTCATCATTAATCAGATCCAATCTAAATGGTGTGTGTGCAAAGACTTTAATTTTGTTTATTCTATGACCGAGAGGAAAAACTTAGTGGCAGAAGTAGAAAGCAATGATTTTCTTCCTTTCAATCAGTTCATTAAAGATTCCTCATTGATCGATCTACCTCTATATGGAGACAATTCATATGGGTATGTGGAGATGTTCGTTCTATGAGCTGGTTGGAAAGATTCTCGATTTTAGGAGAATGGTGTTAACATTGACCAAATTGTGTGTAACTTGCATTGCTTCATCGGTTGTCAGATCATTTTCCAATTTTATTATTTGTGGACGAAGATAATTGAATTTTCAAAAACCTTTTTGTGTGAATTGATGTGTTGAGCTGATTTACCTAAGTAGAAAATTTTTGTTGGGGGCAATTAAATTTGTTTGATATGATAGGGTGGGGTGGTTATATTCTGATGGAGAAGTGAAAGTTGTTAAAATGGAGACTAAATTGTTGGAATTTGAAACATGTAAGTAATATTTTAGGGAGAGATTAAAGGAAACAAATGAAATATTGAGGATTCTAGATAAAAGGGAGAGGAAGACATGTTAAGGGTTGGAAGATGTATAATTGTGTTCTTCACTAGTGTTTTCTCTTTCTAGAGTTAATGTTAGTATGCAATGGTTGAAAGAAAGATTGTTTTGTCTAAAAGAGGGAGATTCAAATTCAAAATTCTTTCAAGGAGTCATTTCTGGTAAAAGGATGAATAATTGTATCCATAGTATCATCTCCAACAATGTTAAAGTGGAAGGGGTCATGGGTGTGAGAGATGTGATGTTTAACCATTTCAAAAATCAATTCAAGCTCGTTAAATTTGATAGACGATGGATGCATAAATTTTAGTTCATGACTCTCAGAGGAGATGATGTAAAAGGTTGTGTGAGAATGCAAAAGCTGCAAAAGTCCAGGTAAAGATTTTTGGTTTTACTAAATATTTTTGGTTAGACCTTAATTTGAATTTCTTAAGATTTGTGTCAATTTTCTTTTCAAATTGAAAGTTGGTGAAATATTCTAATTAAATTTTCATCGTCTGATTCCAAAAATCAATATTTTTTTACCATTTTCTTAAGTGGGTGTATGTCTATGGTTTTAGAAAATCACATCAGGCTCATTATAAGATGGTGATCTACAAAAATATTTCTATCATGGAGATGAGAAAATTAGGTTGGGATTCTGAATGTTTAGGTTAGAGGTAGGGGAAAAGACTTTTCGCTATGGAGAAGGATTAACATAATGTTGTTATTTGTTGAATAACATTGTTTTGCAGGATAATATTTTTGATTGTTGGAAGTGGGCATTTGATCGCGATGTTGGATACTCAGTGAAATATTAATATCATATTTTGATTCATGAAGATCATATTGATCCAGAACCGACTTAGCAGCTCATTTAAAACAAATCACGTCACTTGAAGTTTATTTGTTCACGTGTAAGTTGATCAACAATAGAATCCTTACTAATAACAATATGTAGCGACGTAGAATAATACTTTCACACGTGAAAAGGGTATGCAAGTGGATTCAAATAAGATGTATCTCTTAACATCTATGCATAAAGTGTTAGATAGATTTGGATTTGCCTTACACTAGTTGGGGATTCTTTGTGTTCATTTTAATGTCATCGACATTTTATACCCTTCAATTTTGCGAATCTCATTATTTTAGTATGGAGAATCGTATATAATTTCAATTTTACTTGCCTGCTTTGTGTTATGAACATAATATAACAAATTTTCCATATCATCTTCCATTAATTTATCACTACATTGATCAAAATTTTCTAATGCACCATTATAATTAAAAATTAAATCATCATTATTATCTTCACTTTTAGTATAAACAATCTCTACAACATTCACTTCCCATTGACTTATTTCACCTTCATTCATTTCACCTTTATCCATTACTACTACATTAATTTAAGTTTCATCATCTATTGTATTCACTTATGTTTAATTACCTACATCATTCACTAGAACACCTTCTATATTGACTACTTTGCCATACAATTTGAAAATATAAATATTTTCATCAAGGCTTAAAATATCCTCAATGTTTATATCTTATTTCATTATAAGACAATCAAAGTACTCAGGTTGTGAAAATGGATGTTTCACAAAAACTTCAACACTCAAGTGAACCTGGGATAAATCAATAATATCTTGGTCACCTTTGTCATCAGGCAGTAAAAGCATACCAAATGTGGGACCCTTGTATCATATAATTCAAACTTCCTTATATCTCAGTTTTTTAATAATGCCTAACATCTCAAAAAAAAAAAAACTCCACTTATCAATATTATATTTCAGTTCTAACACAAACCCTTCATACTTAGACATTGTTTTATCTACAAATGAACCTATGTGATGAATAATTACATGGACAAACTCATACATTTGAACTAATAACGATAAATGTCGTACACTTGAGATATTGTTAATTTAGAAATCCCAAACCAGAACAATCTTACGTTTTATAGCCCTTGAAATTGTTCATTTATAAATCTCTAAAATAAATAATATATTCAAGATATCGAACAAAAACAATACTTTCAGAGAAAATAAACCCTAAATATGAAAGTAGCAAAAAATAGTGACTTACCAGGAATGTAGAATACCTAATTCCTTTTTGTCTTCCCTGATTCATTCTCCATCATATTCCTCGTATAGTTCTTCTTTGACAGTGACATCACCGTTGTTTTTGTTCGTTACGCACTAGGCACAATTATTCTTCAAGCAATATGGTAAATGAGAAAAAACTAGGGTTATGGTGGTTTTCTATTTTTACCTTTTATTTTTGCCACTCATCAGTATACACTCAGTAAACATATTTTCCACTCAGACATTTTATTTCCAAATTAGCGCCAATTGGATGCTTTAATTCACTTTGAATAACATAGTTGACGAAAAGGACAAGTGCAATCTTAGTTTGTAACGTTGAGGGACTTAAATGGAAAATTTTAAAGTTTTGGGACCAAAATGAACCATTTATAAAAGTTATTTGAATTTATTTACAACAAACATTCAAAACCTTCTAGATTTTCTTTGATGTTTTTCTTAGCATTTAACTTTATTTGCACCAAACATACATAACCTTCTAACTTTTCTTTGCTGTTGTTCTTAGAATTTAAGTTTATTTGCACCAAACATCCAGAACCTTCTAACTTTGCTTTTTGATTTCTTTCAATAAACCCTTGGAATTATCTTAATAGGGGCTAAAACCAAATACCGTTTATCCACATACTAAGATTAAATACTTTTACCTTTAGACATTTGATTAAAAAGAGAGATCTAGTTGAAGCACTAAATGAAATCTTGGATGGCTGGGCTACATTCCATCTCCACTTTAGAGAAGTATGACACCTTAAAGTAAAGTATGCTTTCCCTGACAAAAAAATGTTTTGATTTTAGAATCAAGGGAACATGGGTTCACAAACCGCATTGCCAACCTCTTCCTCGAAATCACACATTTAAGCAAGCCTCGGTAGTAAGAGCTCGCCAAAAAATTAATTTTTTTCAAAGACTCGATAAAGATTTAAAACATCTTAGGAGACTACTCATAATAGATTAGGTCATATGGATATTAGAACCTTCCCAAGGAAAAAAGAAAATGCTAAAGAAAACATTCAGATATTATTCTCTTCCTAAGTGTTGACAAACCGATTATGAGACTCTAATAAAGGCCAAACAGTTGGAGGTGAAATAGTGAGGGTACCACCACGAGGTAATGTAAAATTTATTGCTCGATGATAGTGAAAGGTAGAAGAAAACTATTTCCATAAAAATGCTTCAAACATCAGGAAAAAAGGATGGAGAAACTCTTGACAAATTATAT